ATTGCTATTATTCCCGTTAATTAAATATAATATATAACTGAATATAATATATATTTTTTTTTAAGTCAGCGAATCGCAATATTGTAAGATTTAACTGATATTTTATCTGGAYAATGGTTAATTTGAGAGTTTGACTTAAATGTTCTATGTTAGTTAGGTTAGTAAAGGTTGGTATACCTACGGGTGTTAAGTTTAGGAAATTCTAKCCCAAATATAAGACACGGAGGTATTTTATTGAATTATTAATTAACATAATATTGTCGTAATTTGTAAATATTTAGCTATACTTGTTACAAGACTCACATATTATCATGATAATTTGACAATGAAAACAAATAATCATAACAGCCGGGTAAATGGTAGTATACCTAACTGTAAACGGATTATTATGTCTTAGACGTGTATTATGTATAGATCACGATTGATAACAAAATAATATCTTAAACTGTGTAATAGGTAGTCATAAATAATTTATATAATGTTTTACCTCACAAATAAAAGTTTTGAAAAAATTTAGAATATAATACGTAACCTTTAAACAGTTTAAGCATTTATATTTTAGTCTTGGGAATGTTAAACATATGTCCAATCTAGAATAATTTATTATTAATATTTAGGAAACTTGTTAAAATTGTATATGTTTACAATATCTAAACCTTTAACATGGTATAATATACATCATAATTTGTATTAATACATTTGCATAATAATTGCATGTATGCGTATGAAGTATAATGTAACGTCATGTCATCATCATAATTCTTAGTTTATTCTTCAGAATATAAATATATTATCTAGTGGCTAGTAAACAATAAAAAATCTGCTTGCTTTATTGAAATGAAAAATAAAATTTATAATCGTATAATCGTATTATAAACGACGACGTGTCGATATTAAGTTAGAATAAATCTRAAAAACGTTGTGTTTAGTATAATATTTCCCATATAATAATTATATATAAATTTACACCCCATAATATATTACTCAACATTGTAAATATTGTTTTAAAAAAGATGAATTAAAACTAATTAATATTACATTATATTTATATTGTTTTACTATGTTTAAAATTATATTAATATCTATAGGTACCCCCATTCTACCACAGTGCAGTACCTATGATTTGGAATGAGACAATTAATACATTGTTGATAAAATAATAAAAAATGTATGTGTGATGGGTTCGAACATTAAGTTTCCAGTTCTACCCCCGGTTTTACTTATTTAATATTAAAAATATTATCTAAATATTTTCTAAATCGAACTTTCGTGATTAATTTTCACACTCTACTGTGAATGCCGATAAAACATATTAATTATAATATGATTACTGTTATATATATCTAGAAAGTGGATACCTACTCGTCGTCGATGTATTATATAGAAAACCTGCAGAAACTTATTCATAAAAAAAATTTATTGCAGATTATTTATTGTATATTCGTATCAATGATAATATGCGCAGCTTTCAATTTTTATCAATAATATAATTTACCAAATAGTCGCACAACTATGGACACGTGCACGGTCAGAGCCACTGCACTACTGCAGGCTA